GCGGATGCCATATGCCCCAGGAGCCTCTGAAAAAGTTTCAGTGGGACCGCACTCTTGCCCTCGAACTGTCGAAGACAAGTCAGCAGTGAGTGTGCGCGCTCGCTCGTAAGCTGCGCGGACATGGCGACCGAGTCTATCTCCATACCGAGAAAAGAGATCCTCTGCACGGGGCAAAGTTTGCTCTTCTCCCAGTTGACCCGAAGGCCCAGACGGGCTAGGTGCCGGAGCACTAGGTCTCTGTGTTCGCAAACCTGGACTCGAGAGTGAGCTAATATTAGCCAGTCGTCGAGGTAATTCATGATGCGAACCCCGTGTTCGCGCAGGGGAACAAGGGCTGCCTCGACAACCTTCGTAAAGACGCGAGGAGACAGAGCCAACCCGAATGGGAAAACCGCGTACTGGTATGCCTGCCCCTCGAAAGCAAACCGAAGAAACGGTCTGTGTCGAGGTAAAATGGAGACATGAAGTAGGCGTCCTTCAGGTCTATCGCTGCAAACCAATCCTGTGGCCGCACGCATTCGAAAATGCATTTGGTCGTGAGCATCCTGAACGGCAGCCTGAGAAGGGAGCGGCTCAAGACGCGCAGATCCAGGATTCGCCGTAACCCACCGGTCTTCTTGGGGACAATGAAGTACGGGCTGTAAAACCCTGACCTCATTTCGGCTGGAGGGACAGTCTCGATTGCACCCTTCGCCAGCAGGGTGGCAACCTCCGCTCTCATGATCGGGGCATTGCCACCGACCAAAGTAACGGACTCCCCTGAAGCGGGGAGGAGACCGTGCGAATTGGATTGCATAGCCGAGCCTGATAGTTCGGGCGACCCAGCGGGACAGGTAGGGAAGCTCTAACCAAGCTCCCAAGAACTGAACCAGCGAAAACATCCGAACGACAGACGTCCCCCCGGAGGGGCAGCGAAGCGGAGTGACCGGCCCAGGCGTGGGTGGCATAGCGGCCCGGTGCGGGGGCACGGTCATGCTCCGTGTCCTGACAGAGGAGACCAGGGAAGGACCAGCGTTCCACGGGGGTCTGCTCTGCCAGGGGTCTGGCGACAGAGGGGGACGAGAGTGGTGTGGTCCGGAGACGGCACACACTGTCATCCGCGCCCTCAGAGACAGAGGGGGACGAGAGCGGCAAGGCCCGGGAGCGTCGCGCACTGTCGTCCGGCCCTCTGAGGGCTCAGAGATGGGATGCAGCTCTTTGGTTTAGAAAGATTCTCCCCCAGCCCTCCACCGGGGGAAGGAGTGGCCCTGCAACCACTCCCTGAAGAACTGCAACCTACATCTGAGCTGCACGTAACGGGAGCGCCGCAAGCCTGGCCTTGGCGGGGCTGCGGGACCGGTACGGGCAGGGGCGCCTTCCTGCGACCACCTCCACCGCGCGGCCCGGTGCTGCTGGGGGCCGGGCGGGAGGGGGCGGAAGTCGCAGGAGGGCGCATTCGGCAGCAAGCGGACTGAGGCGTCTGAGCCGGCAGCTGGAGGCAGCAAAGCCGCGGGGTCAGACAAAATAGCCACAGTCCACTTCTGGGCGGCCGAGAACTGTTGGGCAGAGTCCTCGACCGCGCCACCGAAGAGGCCAGCCTGGGATATGGGGGAGTTGAGGAAACGAAATTACTCAGCCTCGCGCACATCAACCAGGTTAGCCAGAGGTGTCTGACCACCTATGTGGACATCACCTGACTCAGGGAGCGTGCGGTCACCTACGTCGCTCGGAGAGCAAGGTCGGTGACGGCAGGCAGCTCAAGGATGAGCCCTGAATCAGCCCTACCCTCGTGCATGTCATTGAACACCCAGGAGGATGACAATAACACGCAGTGAGGTGGCAGCCTGCCCCGCAGCTCTATAGGTCCCCGCCACCGGAGTAGACAAGAACCTACAGGCATTGGAGGGGTGCTTAAGAGTCGCCACGCCAGGTGGAGGCGCTGTGGGGACACATAAGTGTTGCCACAGAACACTCCACAGGGGGAACCCCAGTGCACCCTAGGCCGCGGCCTCTACAAGGGCAGAGAAGGCGGAAGAGGCCACTGAGCAGTCGCGAAAAGTCAAGGAGACTTCCACGATCTCATGATCTCTTCATGCACGTCCGGGTAGAAAGGATTTGGGTTCGCCACCCCCAAAAACCAATCACCCGGGAAGCATAGCTGTGCACTCTGGATCAAACTCGTTATGCTAGCACATCCGAGGACGGCAGCACAGACGAGCCATCATCTCTAGAGGACTCCAGCTCACCTTGTGATGCAGTGATACATGATTTCATCAGCCGGGGTACCGAATGAAACCGCGGGCCCGCGGGCGGGCCGGCGAACTCACCTGGGACCACGCAGGTTGCAATGTGAAAGACGGGGTGTGGACCGAGGAATTTTTCGTCGGTTTAGTTCCAAACCTGCCGTCTTAGGTCACCCTGGCCACCAGCTGAAGTATTATCTCACGTGGAGAAAAATAGATCGGGGTGTGGATGAGGGGACTCTCACTCATTGAGCTCATCGAGTCTCGACCGTTACATTGCGATGGTCACGTTCCCAGTGAGAGAACGTGACACACCCACGAGTGCTGTCTGAGCGCGATCAGCTGAATCTATCAGAATACTACACTCAGAAAAACACGGGCAGATCGTCTTTAGAAAGACGCGTCTTTAAAAAGACGTGCCGCGTGCAGCTCTTTAGTGAGAGGAAAAACTCCGCGGATGTTGAAGCGACCAGGGAGAACACACAGACTGGCAGACCACTGCTCAGCTCGCAGGCAATGTGAAACTCGCTGGATACCGCCGTCACACCAACACCGGAGAGTTCGCTCGTCTCGAAGAGATGTGCTGCCCTACAAAGGCTAAGTGCAGTAACTACGCCACCATTGAAACTGAGAAAAATGCCTCTAAAGTTTTCATACTGGCCAGTCCAACATGTAGCAGGTCCAATAGTGTTGATACTTTCAATTGATACCTTTTTAGGAAGGAAAATTATATATATATAAAAAAAGACCAATGATATGACCTTTGACCCCAAAAATGTAGATACTGCACTCTGCCTTTGAATTACCTTGATCAACTAGAGCACTATTACAAAAGCAAAGTGCAGTATCTACAATTTAGATGTGTTCAGACTTCCACATTTTTGTATTCCTTATGTCTTTTAATCTGTTTTGTGGTTTGTTTATAGATGTTTATAATAGGTTGAGAGTATTGAAATTGCTTGTAACCTTCAATAATAATTTTTTGTCCTAATGTCCCTGTCACATCGCAGTCCTAAACATTTTTTTGTCATCAACATTGTCATTTTTCCAAACATCCTTAACATTTTACACACAATCAATGGTATTTTGGTTTGTGGATTTTCATTTTAATAGAAAATTCATTCATTAAATACCAAAACAGAACAATAAACAGAACAGCCTAGATCTAACCGTTAATTATTAACGTCAAAATAAGTGACTGCCAATGTAATCATTGAGAGTAGAAGATATGAACGGAAAAAGTCGACTGATCTCGATGGTTATTTCGCAACTTCCATGACTTTCAGCTTGAACTTCATTGGCTATCAATTAAACAACGCGATATTTTACCTAAACCATGTGATGTAGCGTGTGTAATGAGAAGTAAACAACCAAGATAAAGTGACATTTAATTCAAGACTGTCCTTGCGGCTGCAGGTGCTACACGGCTCTCCTCAGGAGATCGGCTAGCACTAGAATGCTAAACTAACAGTGACTTTGCTCCAGTCGACTAACTAAATGTAATCTTGTTAACTTCACAACAATTGGACTAGCTGCCTGAAACGAAAATAGCTTAAGAAGAAATGAAGGCAAGAAACAGAACAGTGACGGGATCGTATTTGGATTATGACAGCATTTCCAGACTGGATAGATGTTACAGTCTTAAAGGGAGCAGGTAGGCTAAAATGGTTTAATATGCTAGCGGCTCGCTATTAAACCGGCTTATGATAATTAATAGATTTAGATGTTATTTGACTGGTTAGTTGTTCATATGTTATCCATCTTCCTACCGTTGTTTGGATACTTGCGTTTCAAAGCAAGTTCCACCATGGTTTTTCCTCGGGATTGTGCCATGATATTTGTGTCAGTTTTACCATATATTTCTAGCAGCTATCGTGTTTGTGGTGTGTGTGATGGAATGTTTTGGATGGGGCTACTAGGCAGACCGCAGTATCTGCGTCAAAGCCAGGTAAACACAGGCAGAACGTAGTATCTACACTTACTGCGGTTAGCCTCGGTATTAGGTTGGATTTCGTAGTTACTGCAAATTTGACATAGTGATTTCTCTAAAACGGGACCCAGTTGGACCAAGAGCTTTTGTCACAAGACAAAGGAGGTGTTATGAAGCCCATTTTCAGTCTAAACTCAATTTTGACCAAATATGTAGTTACTGCACTTTGCCTTTGTAGGGCAGTGTAGTCACTGAGAAAACTCAGGATTTGGCTTGTGGAGTGAAGAGATGCTCTTGGCTCCGAAGCGAAAACATGATCTGCTGTTGCAGGTGTCTCTCCTTAAATTCCCACGCGGTGGGGCGGAGATACATTATGCAAATTCCGCAGACCCATGGCATTTCATTGCCATAGGCTCGTTTTTTAATACTCGAAGATGATAGGCTTTCTGGCGAAACCCCCATTCTCCGTCATCCGACGTAACTCGGAGTGACTACGAAAGGGAACAGAGGTTACGTTAGTAACCGAGTACGTTACCTGGTTGCCTTAAAATTTGAGTTCACTGAAATTAAAATCTTCAGTTAATACAATGGAGATTGGTTTAATAAACAGAACCTCTAAATATTATGTTATCTGAACCACATTAATTATCTAAGTTGATTTGACAAAAGATAAAAAGTTGTGATAAATCATGAAAACATTTTTTTTACAGTATAGATTGTAAATCATTTTATGTTTTTGTTCTATTTCAGCACCAAACATTATATCTCCTGTTGCATCTATTCTCCCTCATCAATTGTTTATTGTCTGTGAAAATGGCAAAAAAGCGACATTATACTGTAAATATCACCTGATGTGACGTTTCCTGCTGTTTTATTCTCGCACCTCGCTTTTGCCAGCTCAATCTCATTTACCACGTCACACATCTGAACAGCACAAACCTGCAAAAGAGACAGAGAGAGAAAAAGAGAGAGAGAAACAGAGAACATTTCAGTTGTTTAACCACATCACAGCCTTCAAAGCTTCAATCTCTTTCGTCTCAGTGATTCACCTCAATATTCCTTCTCAGGATAGTCTATTACTTTAAGGTGTCAGCTTTCATCTTGTAAGGCTTTCATTTCATATGCATATTTGTGGATTGCCGTGAAGTCTCATGGGGGCTTATTGTGGCTAAATATTTACAGCAAATGCCTACTGGGATTGGGAATTAGATTCCACTGCTTGAAAAATCCACAAACTTAAAAACGACTTATTATACTTTTAGTTTGCCATAGACCATTCCTACTGACAAAATGACAGACCGTTGCTCGCCTGTACGCTAGCGGCACACGGACAAAAGAGCGCCGTTGCACTGTGGAGATGATATCATGCCTGTAAGGGAGAAAAGGCGCGTGGGGCCAGTGAGTAATCGTCAGATTGCTCACTGATGTCCACTGCTGATGACAAATTCATGCTGACAGTCAGTGGCAGACAGCCTGCGGTCAATAAGAACGTGAAAGTCCAACGAACAGCTTGAGAAGGTCAATGATGAAGACATGATGCCGGGGAGTGTAATGGACAGGGAGGACTGAATCCCAATAGTGTTAATAATGTTATATGTGTGTGGGTGTTTGTGATGCTTTGCGTTTTGTCTTGAGTTAGCATCTATGTGTGCTTCTGTTTTGGTATAATGTGTGCGTGGGCCTGCATTTGTGTGTGTGTATGGTGGCGGGTACAGGTGTGTGTCTGTGCATTTCAATGTGAGAGTGGGCATAGTCTAGAGATCCGTGATCTAGAACAAGATAAGGTTACCGGGAAATGAAAAAAGTTCGATTTTAAGTACTTCTGCTGGGCCCAGTACTTGCTGAGCAACTGGCAGTGACATGAATGGAAATGCTAACGATAGATTCTCAATGTATTATAGACCTCTTTGGGCCATATCACACTTAACCAAGGACATAAGCATTGAAAACATTTACAATATAAATCTCATCCACTGCCTTTATAAACAATTGATGGTTGGGAAAAGATGCAGGTAAGATTTTTTTAATGTTTTTGAAAGAAGTCTCTCATGCTCACCAAGGTCAAAAATACAGTAAAACAGTAATATTGTGAAATATTATTACCATTTATGAAAACAGTTATTATAATTGGTAATAATATTTCACAATATTACTGTCACAATATTACAGCAGAAGTATTCTTGTGATGGCAAAGCTAAATTTTCAGCATCATTAGAGTCTTCAGTGTCACATGATCTTTCAGAAATCATTCTAATATGCGGATTTGGTGCTTAAGTAACATTTCTTATTATTAATAATGTTGAAAGCAGTTGTGCTGCTTAATAAATGGCTCTACTGTCACTTCTAATCAATTAAATGTATCCATGCTGAATAAAAGTATTCTTTTCTTTCTGTATAACAGAATTCTGTATACAAGTATACAATTCTTTTTAAACGTCATGAAAAATGTCACTACAGTCATTTTCACCATATCTTAAATTATTTATTGTATCTAACAGCAATCAGTTACAGAAATGATAGTGATGTAAATTACATTTTTGGAATAAATGGGCCAGATCCTTCATCTTGCGGAAGCAAATTTCATTCTTTATGTATCCTAAATACACAATCAAATAAAAGATTCTGTAGAACAGTCGTAACAAATACATTTCACGCAATAAATATTGCAACTAAATAAATCAATTATACAATTATAAAAAATACATATTGTATATTTGTAATATACACATTTTTTCTAATATTTTCATATTTGTATAATTGATTTTCAGTTTACAAGGGTTTTCATAGCCTGGGTCAGTGACAAGGATAAAACAACAAAAAATCTATACATAAAAGGCATTTGAAAAGTAGCAAAAGTAAATGAAGTCATGGTGAAAGTCCAACAACAATCTTTAAGAAAAAAAAAACTGAAAGGAAAGGGGAAAAAACAAAAGAGTCGAAGATGATTTCATGGGCTCTTTAAGCTCTAGATCTTTGGCCCTCGAGGTCCAGGTTCGGTCCAACCCTAATGAAAACCCTGACCAAGCCAATATACACTCACCGGCCACTTTATTAGGTACACCTGTCCAACTGCTCGTTAACACTTAATTTCTAAGCAGCCAATCACATGGCGGCAACTCAGTGCATTTAGGCATGTAGACATGGTCAAGACAATCTCCTGCAGTTCAAACCGAGCATCAGTATGGGGAAGAAAGGTGATTTGAGTGACTTTGAACGTGGCATGATTGTTGGTGCCAGAAGGGCTGGTCTGAGTATTTCAGAAACTGCTAATCTACTGGGATTTTCACGCACAACCATCTCTAGGGTTTACAGAGAATGGTCCGAAAAAGAAAAAACATCCAGTGAGCGGCAGTTCTGTGGGCGGAAATGCCTTGTTGATGCCAGAGGTCAGAGGAGAATGGCCAGACTGGTTCGAGCTGATAGAAGGGCAACAGTGACTGAAATAACCACTCGTTACAACCGAGGTATGCAGCAAAGCATTTGTGAAGCCACAACACGCACAACCTTGAGGCGGATGGGCTACAACAGCAGAAGACTCCACCGGGTACCAGTCATCTCCACTACAAATAGGAAAAAGAGGCTACAATTTGCAAGAGCTCACCAAAATTGAACAGTTGAAGACTGGAAAAATGTTGCCTGGTCTGATGAGTCTCGATTTCTGTTGAGACATTCAGATGTTAGAGTCAGAATTTGGCGTAAACAGAATGAGAACATGGAACCATCATGCCTTGTTACCACTGTGCAGGCTGGTGGTGGTGGTGTAATGGTGTGGGGGATGTTTTCCTGGCACACTTTAGGCCCCTTAGTGCCAATTGGGCATCGTTTAAATGCCACGGCCTACCTGAGCATTGTTTCTGACCATGTCCATCCCTTTATGGCCACCATGTACCCATCCTCTGATGGCTACTTCCAGCATGTCACAAAGCTCTAATCATTTCAAATTGGTTTCTTGAACATGACAATGAGTTCACTGTACTAAAATGGCCTCCACAGTCACCAGATCTCAACCCAATAGAGCATCTTTGGGATGTGGTGGAACGGGAGATTCGCATCATGGATGTGCAGCCGACAAATCTGCGGCAACTGTGTGATGCCATCATGTCAATATGGACCAAACTCCCTGAGGAATGCTTCCAGCACCTTGTTGAATCTATGCCACGAAGAATTGAGGCAGTTCTGAAGGCAAAAGGGGGTCCAACCCGTTACTAGCATGGGGTACCTAATAAAGTGGCCGGTGAGTGTAGATCTTCAGGATTAGAAAGTTACAGGCAGGTGAGTTTGATCAAGGTTGGAGTTAAAATCTGAAGGAAAGTGGACCTTGAGGGCCAGAGTTGAGAACACTTTCATTGAAAAAGTGAAAATCATCGAGAGGCACACAGCTGTTTCGAAATATCTTGAAGAGGAGCCCTGTAATGAAGTTTACCTGCTCTGTGACACTGCCAATAACATCTGAATGATGGATCTGCATTTCAAGGTAAATGTTTAGAAGGAGAGCAGCAGAAATGATGCTGAAAATATAGGCGCTATTTTTGCTGGGTTTCAGCTGTCACTCTCCGGGACATTGGTGCATGGATAATAGGGTCAGCTCAGTGAGAGGCTGCTTCACTGCCATCATCAGCCATGCGTGCACCATAATCCCCACCAGCAGAAGATTCCATCATACTTTCTATTGCATCATCTGACCTTGTATAGCTCTTAAGACACTGTAAAATTAGGATTGGAAGGGAAGAGTACACAAAAAAACACTTGAAACAACACTGAAAATGTAGCTATCTTCAGTTAATAATTGCCTTCTCAGTCTGAAGTATAAAAGGTTGTATCCTGTGTGCTAGTCAAGGTTGGTAACATGATTTGCTTCATGGAAACAAATAATAAACTGCAGGTTTGCATTAGAGAAGTTTCTATGGAGCTGATTATTTGCTTCTCCATAAAACTGAGGACAAAGGAGCCATTTAGAGGTTGTTTACAGTGATTTGCCTAAATTACAATAACAGTGTGCTATTCGTCTGATAATAAATCTCCCAGATTCCCTCAAATATTTCCTCTCAGAGTTACATCAGATAACGGATGAGCATTCTTCCTTATGCGTTGGTGCATTCATCAGGTGCAGGGTCCATTGCGTGTGAAAGCGACCCAATAAAGTGGAGGGTCAGGCAATGGGCCGATCTCTGATGCAATCCTGGCGAACCGCACACACTCAGCTTACATATTTGTGTTTATGCTCAAATTATTTGCGAGAGTTCAACTATGTAAGTGGATTCCCTGCTGGAAAATCCAGCTTAGGCTGGATTGCTGTGTTTTGGAACATGATAGCAAGTCTAAGCTGGTTATTAGCCGGTCCAAGCCTTGTGTTTTTACACATCTTTTTTTCCTCAAACAGCTCATTTCCAAAAATATCAGCACATAATCCATCTCTCACTGAATAAGTCTAGGATCCTGCTAAAAAAAACAACACTTTAAACCATGCTGGTTTAAGATGATCTAGCTGGTCTCCCAGCCTGCCCAAACAAGTGTTCAGCAATAGTTTTTCGGACAGAGCTTAAAACCCCTCTAAAACCAGCAAACAAGACCATCTTTGGAGACCAGAAAACCATTTTGAGTAGTTTTTTTTTCCAAGCAGGAGAGATAGACCTCCTGTAACACCAAATAAGTCAGTTGCTGAAAGGTCTGTGAGTCTCTGCAGTCATCACTTCACATTCAGCTTTGATAAAAGAGTATATTCTTCCTTTAAACAGTCTTTATGGGCAGTATTGATCTATTTGCTTAATGTCAGCCTAGCTTTTTAGTGGCATTTGAGAGAAAGAGAAAGAAGGCCAGGGGATTGGCCCCTAAACAATGACCATGCAATGACTCAGAGCAAGACCTTGGCAACAGTACATCAACCACAGAGCTTCTCATTGACACACCAAATGAGAAGCTCACCAGGAAAACAGTGTTGC